CTCTCGCTGTGATGCACGAGGTCGTCTCATTGAACAATTCCTCATTTCATCAGGTGCTTGTCTGTTGAATAGGAAAGAGGCAACATACTATAACCTTGCCAACAAAACTTACTCTTTCATAGACGTCAGTATCGCATCTCCTTCACTAGTACCATTACTTCAGTGGAAAGTCATAAATAATCCATACGGAAGTGACCATTTTCCTTTAGTTTTGAGTACACCAATAATATATGAATGTCCTCCACATCTTCCCAAATGGCTGGTAAACAAAGCTGACTGGAAACAATTTCAAAAGCTTACTCACTTAAATTGGACTGACATATGCGGATTAGGCATAGATGAAGCTGTGCAGTACTTTACGGCCTTTCTTACTGACGCAGCAGCCAAGTGCATTCCACAAACATCTGGACTGCCCGGCAAACGACACGTCCCGTGGTGGAATACTGAGTGTCAGAATGCGCGAAAGGAACAGAACAGGGCATGGAGGTTGCTGCGGAACTCGCCGACAGCGGAAAACCTTGAGAGCTTTAAGAAAATGAAATCTCGAGGCAAGAGAACGCGTCGGCAGGCCAGAAGAGAAAGTTGGCACAAGTTTTTATCAGGGATAAATTCATATACACAAGAGGCCAAAGTCTGAAACATGGTTCGAAGGGTAGCAGGAAGAAAAGTACACTCACTCCCACTCGTAAACACTCAGGGTGATACCTTGGAAGATCAGGCAAACTTCCTCGGTGCACACTTTGAATGGGTATCCAGCTCGTCCCACTATACTGACACTTTCCAAAAATATAGAGCAAGAATAGAAAAGCAGAAACTCGAACACAAATCCACTAGATACGAGGCATATAACCAAGTTTTCAGTCTAGCTGAGCTCCGAACATCTCTAAACTCCTGCAGTACTTCTGCCCCAGGTTCTGACCGTATGATGTATGAAATGTTAAAAAACCTACCAATCGAAACGTGAAAAACCTTACTTTGTTTGTACAATGCTATTTGGTTCTCTGGCACTATCCCTACCTCTTGGAAAGAGGCTATCATTATTCCCATTTTGAAAGAGGGCAAGGACCCTTCTTTAGCTTCGAGTTATAGGCCTATTGCACTTACAAGCTGCTTGTGCAAAGTCTTCGAAAAAATGATAAACTGCCGACTAGTACATTTTCTTGAAACAAACAATTTGCTAGACCCATTTCAGTGCGGGTTTCGAGAAAGTAGATCCACCACAGACCACCTTGTTCGTATTGAGGCACAGATCAGAGACGCTTTCGTCCATAAACAATATTTTCTCTCTGTGTTTCTCGATATCGAAAAGGCTTATGATACAACATGGCGCTTTGGAATTCTAAGAGACCTGTCTCACCTTGGCTTGCGCGGTAGAATGTTTTCCATAATTGAGAGTTACTTGTCCGATCGGACATTCCGTGTTCGTGTGGGCAGTGTTCTCTCCCAAACATTTGTCCAGGAAACAGGCGTGCCGCAAGGTGGTGTACTTAGTTGTACACTTTTTATCATGAAAATGAATTCCTTGCACCTGTCCATCCCCCGCAACATGTTCTATTGTACATATGTCGATGACATTCAGCTTGGCTTCAAGTCATGCAACTTGGCAACGTGTGAGCGGCAGGTTCAGTTAGGTTTAAACAAGGTCTCCAAATGGGCAGAGGAAAACGGATTCCGACTGAACCCACAAAAAAAGCACGTGTGTCTTGTTCTCCCGAAAGAGAGGCATGCACTCAGAACTCGACATTGAACTGAACGGTCAACGCTTGTCTGTAAATGCGGAGCGTAAATTCTTAGGCCTAATCTTGGACAACAAGTTGACCTTCGTACCGCAGATCAAGTATTTAAAAACAAAATGTTTAAAAGCCATGAATGTTTTAAAAGTGTTGTCACGTACTACGTGGGTAGTGACAGGCAATGTCTCACGAATTTGTATAGGAGCCTCGTTCGCACACGCTTAGATTATGGGGCCGTTGTTTATCAGTCTGCGACTCAAAGTGCTTTGAAGATGCTGGACCCTGTGCACCATTTGGGCATCCGCCTTTCTACGGGTGCTTTTCGCACCAGCCCCATAGAAAGCCTTTACGTTGAGTCAAATGAGTGGTCGCTTCATCTGCAGAGAACTTACATATCCTTTGTTTATTTTCTTAAGGTGAAAGCAGACAAGAAGCACCCCTCATACTCTACTATTATTGATTTGTCGAGCTCCATTCTGTTTCAAAACAGGCCTTCGATGAGGCAGCCCTTCTCAGTTCGCTTGAAGGGTCTAGCTGAGGACACTGGAGTGTCACTTGAACACAGTTTAATGGCTCCTGTAGCATACCCGCCACCGTGGCAGTGGCAGACTATAGACTGCGATGTGTCTTTCCTAGAAGTTACAAAACAAGCGCCTATTGCCCATATCCGAACATACTTCTTGGAACTTCAACACAAATACACACGTCCTGAGTTCTGTACAGATGCCTCTAAGTCCAACTCCTCTGTGTCCTACGCTGCTGTTGGCTCTTCCTTTTCGGATGCTGGCCCTCTACATCCAGGCACAAGTATCTTCACAGCGGAAGCTTATACGATACTTGTGGCAGCTAAACACATCAAACAACTACAAATACAAAAAGCAGTAATTTATACAGACTCCCTCAGTGTGGTAATGGCTCTGCACAGTCTTAAAAAACAAAAAAACCCTGTCCTCGTCTCACTTTACTCTATTTTATGCACACTCTACACACTCAACCAACATGTTGTAGTGTGCTGGGTGCCAGGGCACTGTGAGATCCAAGGCAACGTGAGGGCGGATCAGCTCGCTGCATCCGTCCATGAGAGCACCGTCATTACATCTATATCGATCCCGCCCCTTGATCTTAAGCCGTCTCTCAAACGAAAGCTCAGGAACTACTGGCAGAGCAAGTGGGATAGACACAAAACAAGCTACACGTTATCAAGCCACACCTTGGCCATTAGCCACCAGTATCAAAATCACGTCTAATAGAGGTAACACTAACAAGACTCAGGATAGGACACACACGACACACACACATCTTTTGTCCGGTGGCGATCCACCATTGTGTGACAAATGTGGTGAGGCATTGACAGTTCTTCACGTTTTAATCCAATGTAAACAATTAGATACTCTAAGAAGACAGCACTTTCCATTACCCTACCGACAACATATACCATTACACCCCGCAATGTTTGTCGGTAGGGAACCACTTTTTAGTCATAAATCATTGTTAGCATTTTTAAAAGATATTAATAATTTTCATATCATATACCCGGGCATCCCGTAGCACGACCTCTCCAGGGAGGTTTTCGCTGCGGTGGCTACACAGGAAAGCACTTGCCTCACGGCCCTTGACGCAAGGGTATGAACGAGTGAGGCACTTGCGCTAATGCCATACATATCCACCATCGTCTTTTATTATCACCAACTTTTGTCATCTATTCACACCACACACACCTTTCACGGCATGGTCATGATTTTATTACTTGTATGTTCTTACCCGCCTTACCGCGAGGAATTTCATGGCCCTTATACAGCCGCTAATCACAATCATTGTCCACATTGTTTGTCCCATGAACTGGCGCTCTTTGGCCATCAAATGGCCCTTGCGCCAATAAACACCATATATCATCATCATCATCACTCGCGGGCTGGCACCAGTCTCTATCCACTTCGTAGTCTTTTCTTCGAAGCAGGGACTCTCTACCGCTTGCTGCCCCAATCCCACTACTGCTTTGTGGCAATACGTATACATATACGGTGAATGACGACAAACGCCAACATCGGCGGCAAAAATCCAGCCAAGAGTGTCCATATAATTGCTATCGCAATAAAATACACTGGAATAAAAGCCACTTAAAGTCTTTTATTGGCTGTAAAATTGCACATAAAGGGATTGCAGATGGTGCCATTGCTGCAGAGACAGACAGATTTGTGAAGTTCACTTTGTGCACTCTTTGAAGTCATAGGCGTGAGTGATTGTTTGGGTCAACTGCTAGCCTGGAGTGGCTTTCTTCTACTTGTATCTTGCGAGGTAGTGATAAATTTATAATTTTTCATATTTGCGGTCAGCATTGCACAATTTTCAGTTGGTGTAACAAGGCTCTATTTTTACTAGCTGCTTGCCGTCTTGTGTAGTTTTGATCAGCTTCCCATTTTGGCCAAATATTTTTGTCACTATTTTCACTTTTACAACACTGGTGTAATGGAACGACTAATGAAACGAAGTTTTTTGGTTTCTTTTTGTTACGCTGTTTCCATGATAGTGAATTCGTTCCAACTCGCCCAGTTGTCAGTCCAACTTTCACTCTCTTTTTCTCAATATCTCTTCGTACAAAAGTAATTTAACAAGGAGACTTTGCACGGTGAAGGCACACAGCAAGCGTGAATGAACTTGGTTAGTTTTTCTATGCAAGACAAGAAAATTTTCTACTTGCTTCAGAAAGCAGCAATTAGTGAGGACGACCATGATGATATACTGGTGCATACAAAGCCCTTGAGATGATGAAGTTTAATTTCCTCCAATTAGACAGCATTAATAATCGCACTTTAAAGAACTGCTCTTGCCTTCGGTCAGATAAGCAGAATATTCAAATTGAAAGAGGAAGCAATGGAAATAATTATTTTTTAGACTTCCTAATAAAAAAGCATAATTAATTAATAAGTAAATTGTGTCATTAGGCTGCATTATGTAACATTTGTGAAATCTTGCAAAAATTTCTAGATTCAATAAAAGGCACCAGTGTGAAAGACTTCATTTGGTCTTTTCAAGGAACATGTTTGATGCACATAGCTTGTTGGCATGTTTTTGGGGGAGAACTTCTGATGAAGTGAGCTCTTTGTAAAAAGAACAAACTGATGACCCAAGTCTTCTGCATACAATATATTTTTTTATTGTGCCGATATTGCAGATTCGTTGAGCATAAGCAGCGAAGATCTGGAGCACAATGCGGCTTCGTAAGCATGTTAATCCCAGTTGACCAGTACATGTGAAATATTGTGTCAGGTGCGGTACCAGCGGCACATAGAGCGGCGCCAGTGCCGGCAGCGGCCCCAGTGCGACCAGTGTGGCAAGTGCCTGAGCAGCCAGACAGCACTACGCAACCATCGCCTCTGCCACAGCCAGGATCGAGGCTACAGCTGCGATCAGTGCGGAGAGAGCTTCAAGACCAGCACCACCCTCAAGTACCACCAGTAAGAAGCTACCTTTAGATCCGAAAATCCTATTGCACCAAGATTCCAGTGCATGTTTCAGTGCCATGTAAGGTCCAGAGGTACTCTGTTTGCTGAAGCCATGCTTCAAGCTTTCATCAAGAGCAGTCTTTCTCTCTCTTTAAGGAGGCACTAGAAAGAATTATTTTGCTCGAATTAGCGAATGACCCATCCACAACAAAGGTGCCATTTTAGCTCTGAGAGGATGTTTGGTGAGTGAGAAAGCTTGCTAAAGGAAAATAGGGGTATCGATGCCTGCCTTGCTGCTTCTGCCCCAGCTTTCCTGGAGGTCATTGATATTGCATCGCGATTACAAAAGGCCACAGATTGATGCTGAACTTTCCTTGATTTTCTGATAACATTGCTACTGCTTGGTGCTCGCTGTACACACACTCACAGTGCTCTCTTTTGCTGTCACACTTGTGCCATCTTGTGCAAGTTCAGTCAACTATGGTCAGTTGCATGCATGGCCTCCGAGAAGTGCATCCTACCTCCGCTCTGGAGTCCTTGTTATGCATATGCCACTCCATTCTCACGAGCCATGCCACTCCATTCTCACGAGCCTGGTAAAATAATTAATTTAAAAATTAAAAATTAGTGAATTGGTAAAGAGTAATTTCATTTTGTTCTACAGGGGCCAGAAACTTAACATGACAAGTTGCTGGAAATTTAGGACCCTTGTGGCCAAAGAATTAAAAATTCAAAAATGAAAGTTTGCCCTTCGTTTTATTTTCTATATACAATTTTACGCAGCTCTTTTGCTCGATTAAAATCAGGTGACACCACCAGCACCTTGCCTTTCGGCTCCTAGAATGTGGCCTTTGGTAGCGCTGCTAAACATGTCTCCATCCACGTCACGTCATCTGCTCAGCGTCCCCAGTGGGACTTCCATGCTCAAGTTTGCGTAGCGCTGTCTTAGCAGTCAGAGATCAAACTTCCGGTCGCTGAGAGCGGTCGCATTTGCTTTGTTTTCTCGTTGTGGGTGAGAAAAATGTGCCTCTTGCTGCTTCTGTCTGGCATTTCTCTCCCACAGCAGCGTTCTAAATACATTGAATCCTATGACAGCTAAGTCTGGACCTGCAGAAAACTATGTAGCAGCCACAAAAATGCAACAGACAGACAGGAACGTAACAATAGAGCTCTACTGTACATTCATCTGCACTTGTAGTAATGCAACAGTTTCACAGTCACTGTTAGCTGTACAGTAGCCCTGTAGGTGTAGTTACACTAGCACTTGAATGCCTGATGCATGAAACTCTTTAGCTAAGTAACTGCTCAAAGACTTGCATTGATGAAACTTTTAGAAGTGAGGATGAAGAGGCACAACTATAATGAGGATGTAAAAGAACTAATACAATAGGATAAGTGGTCACTGTCAAGTTGATGTTTATTTGAAGAAAACTGGCTTCTTCTACTGTATCAGAATAAATATGCATACATCAGTCATAACTCTGGGAACAAAGCTTTCAATCTCCCTTCAGAAACGTTTCTCTCTCTTTGCAGGTAATACAGTAGAGAGAGAAATGACACATACATCGAATTTTTAACTGGTGTAATTATTTATGAAGCTGTGACTATGGAAAATAAACACGCTAATATAGAACATGGTACCAAACCCTATGGTGACAATGTGGTTTCTGGTAACGTGTTCTTAGTTTGTGTTTTAAGCGTAGAGTGCCTGAGGGTCCTGGCGTGTCGTCCGTCCATACATCTCATGTGCTGTGATCATGCTCACAATAAAGCGCTTTGTACAGTCTATAAAAAAGCTAGCAATGCTTGAAATTGGGTTTGAAATGAATGAGCAGTGTCTAAAATAATATAATTGACAGAAATGTCGAGGAAGTAATTGCAATAGTTAACTTAATGTGACTAAACACCTTTCACATACTTGCAACTGTCTCCGACAATGCGTAAGAGGGTGCAACTTCCTTGCCAAGCAAAAGTTTTAGTGAGATGCGTTACTCTAAATCAACCATTTTTAAGGACATCGAACCTAGTCCTAATCATTTGGATGAAATAGCACAAGCGCAGCAGTCCAACTTCTGGGTGAGGCATTGCGAGCCGTCTTTGTCAGCATCTCGTGTCTTGTCTATCATGTGGGAGCGTGATGTCTTAGACCACTGAGTGAGCAACTGGAGTGACAAGCTCATGAGGGGGCTGTGCATGTGAGCATAGCATGGAGGTCAGTGTTTGCCAGGCTAACTGAATAAGCAGTCTCGGCCCTTCTTCGTGTGGCTAGATGGACGAGACTCGCTTTCTTTCCTTTGTCTCTTCACCGTCCTTATTCATGCCCATAAAGGAGGCAACCAAATGTCGAATGGTTACTGTTACAGGCAGGCAAAACACGGTGCCAACAAGCCGTTCAAGTGTGAGCACTGTTCCAAGGGCTTCAATTTCCTGGCCCAGAAGAAGCGCCACATGAGCCGCATTCACCTGCGCCAGACCAACCACGCGTGCACTATGTGCCCAATGCGCTTCATGACCCGGCGCGAGCTCATGCTGCACCTGCTCTGCGGACACAAGTGTGAGTCTTGCTCACTCGCTTGCCTCTTCCTCCGACAGGTGCCAGAGTCACTAGTAAATTGCATTTTTGGTTTCAGCGCAAAATCGATCAAAACGAAAGACGGAAGGGGCACAAACACCGCTTGCCTATGTCCCTTTCGTCATCTCCAAAAATGCATCCGTACCAACTAGCCCAACTTTCGAAGCTATTGCACTAGTAAATTACTGCATTATTTTTCACAGTAAGTGTGTAATGGGGAGAACTGTGTTGCAACTTGGAAATAAATTAGCAAACGTTTTCATGCGAGTCTGCAGGTGAACCTGCTCATGACGAAATTGAAGTGTTTCAAGTTTTATGTGCCACTAAATTTTTATTATTATATGCACATAAGAGAGAGTGCGGTGCTGCAGTTGAAGTCCTACAGTGGTCAGGCGGGTAGTGCTTCTCCTGTCTGCTCTGTCTTCAGATTGTTGTAGCCACTTTACCTCGATCAGTGGCTCTCACTTAGAGTGAAGAAACAAGGGACAACAGAGGAACGAGGACCACGGGACAAGTGCCGACTGCAACTGAATAAACATTCACTTGGCAGTCCATGCTACCTGTCCTGTGGTCTTCATTCCTTTGTTGTTCCACGTCCCGTTTGCACGGCTACTTTCCTTGCTCTAAATGTATGGACCACCTTGTTGCTGGTGGCTCTCACATTATGCTGCGTGAGACATGGAGTGGGGCAGCTAACCATCACGTACGACAAGTGGTCTTTTGAAAACTGGAAACTGTTAGCTCACTCAACGTGACACCCTTCACAGATTGCTTGATGGTCTGTTCATGGGCTCAGCCATAGTTAAAGAAAGCGCTGCAACCACAGTCAAGCTAGCTAGAGAACGAGATAAATGTTCTCCAGCCCCATCCACCTCCTTATGATTCACATTTTCACATGCCATAACTTTTTCTCAATGGATGCAGCAGCACAGCACTTGGTGAAAAACAGCCATGTGATGTGTGAAGAAAGCTATGAACAGGCAGCACAAGTGGCGTGCAGCCAAGTCCAGACGGCTGCATTTTTCCTTCCTGCATGGGAATTTTACATTTCTTTGCTGGACATACAGCTAGGCTCACTTGTTGACATTGTTAATGCACCACAGGCAGGTCTATAGCCAAGGGAGGGCCTTTGGGGCTCACCTCCCCCTCTATTCAAATTTTGATAGGGAGGGTATTTTATCGCGAATTACAGCGGTGAAAATAGCAAAACTGTGGGTGTGATGCAAATTTGAATATTTATGTGTGAGTGGAAATTGAATCAAACACTTTTACAATACTTGTTGACTATTTCTAGAACATTTTTCAACTACTTCAAGGCACAATTGCAGGGAAAAATGTTGCAGAGGATTCCTAAGTATATTCTTATAAGTTAGCAACATAAAAGTGTTGCTTTTGGCTATGTAAATGATGTGCTGGCGGGAGTTGCCTTATCAAGAATGAGGCAATGTAGAGGCCGAATCGTATTCGAGTACTTGATTTTGTGCAACCAAAGTGTTGCCAACAACACTTTACACTTGAAAGGCAAAGGTGCTATTCCTCACCCTGTCCTCTCCTTTCAACTTCTATGGAAGCCCAATTGATGTGGTAAACAATGGTGTGCTCCCTTTAAGCTCAGATTTTCAAATCTGCCTTGTAGACATCAATATATAAGCACACTTGAATAATTGGATGCTAAATATATTTGGCGTCAAATTTTTTTGGAGCCCAAATTTCAGGGCCAAATCAACATTAATTGAGTCCCCACTTCTCATCTCCATGTTGGAACTAGCATTTTCTTGAAAATTGATTAGCGACTATAGCTAAGCTTCAAAAGCAGTTATAAGTTGTCACAAAGACAAGCAGTTCAGGGAAGTTATTGCGGCTGTGAACATTGCACATGCAGAGAACAAGTGTATGAGTACGGCATCCCTGGCATTCAAAGAGCTTGCGCTTTGAAATCACTGGCAATCAGCAGACGGAGAAGATGCTTCCTGAATACCACCCACTTTCCTCTCCTTGTCTCTGTCTTGCTGATGGTCCATGTCTATTTATTTGTGGCAAATGCAGGAAATAAGCAGTTGTGAGTCAGCGCTCGTGTCCCTTCTTCATCCCATGCTTTACGTTCACGCTGTTCCTACCACCATCCTAGAATGTGGCATTGGACATGACTGCATGTTCAGCAGAGGAAAGAATATTTGGCAGCAATGCGCAACACGATGAAGTTAAATGATCACTAGGTGCAAAGAAGCTTGCAGAAGTGTGCACATCACATTTTAAGCTGGTAAAATTTACTCGTGGCATGTGGTGTGCACCTCTGCATGTCTGACGTTCCAAATTCTATACATTGACACTGAAGGGTTTATGTATTTTCGCTTGCACTACTTTATCTTGCATTGTATATTAGTCTACCAGGGTTTGTTTGTGAACCTGAACTAGGAGAAGTTGGTAACACTTGTAATTTTGGCAAATGTTGTGTTGTCTTGACACTGATGATCCAAGTAGGTTGGGGGTTGAAGACAAAACTTTTTGTTTGGGCCAACTTGTACCCTGGAAATAAAAGTCCGAACTACAAGCACTTTGTGCATTGATGGTAGTGAATAGAACATCAAGCGTCGATAATCTGCCTAACTGCAAAGCACGCCGGCTTTTATGCATATTCTAATGAAGATTTTAGCATTATCTCGGGTGGCTGCTTAAGCTCTCAAATAAACTAGAGCCCTGTGCACAATCCTAATAGAATGATCTCTAACAATTTAGAAGCTTCTCAAACAATACGGTGCAGTCTGTGCGGAGTGTTGTTAACATTGAAATAAAACACTCGTGGCAATATGAACACATAGTGTCCATGGTAAAGATCTGAACATGTAAGGATGTGCCCCTCAGTGCTAGTGTTGCACTTCTAGAGGTGCCTGTTCCTGCATTGAGGGGCTTCACTATTGGCTTGTTGGCATCAGCATCACCAATGAAAGAGTGAGTGCAGAGTCTGACGATATCACAAACTACTGGCCTCTAACCTCTCCTTCCTCAATCATGCATGCTGGCCCCTTGGTTGGAGCTTGTGCCCATGCAGGGCTGGCATGTGCATTGAAGCTGGCTTCACTTGTAGTAGCAGGTTTGTTGGCGTTTTGCTTGGTTCGCGATGCCTGCAGTGCACAAAGCGGTGCGTATACACTTGCACGCAGGCAGTCTCTGTAGCAATATGCAACAAGTATTACATTATTACATGGGCAAATAGCTAAAACTTCAAACATAGATGGCATTACCTTAATCATCAGGCAGCATCATAATCATCGGCAAGTATTTTAACCAGAAAGTGTTTTATGTAAGGGTCCACTAAGAGTTCAGTGACTTATTTCCGTCACGGAAACGATGTCGAAAAAATGCGCATGATCAAACGGCGAAGAAAAAAGAATGTTCTGTGTATGGCAGTCGAACTCATGACCTCTCGATCTGCATGCTGGACACGCTTCTCACTGTGCCGCGGTAACACACTTTGTAGGCTTTACAAACACGCCTTTTATTTTCATCACTTTCCTCTCACAGTGCGCTTATTCAGCAGAGTATTGTTGGTGTCTGGGAGCGTTGAAGTGAACGCATCGTGAACAGGGCTTCTGCACGTAGCATACGCGATGCGTATTGCTGTACGTACAACCCAGTAGGCTTTTTTTCAATTCAAGAAGTGCAATTTCGTGAGCAGCTGAACACACTGCGAGTGAGTGCCCTTAGTCCAAGCTTTGCAGATTGCATACATCCATATTAAAAATAGCTCTGCAATTCACACCTTCTTCGCCTGGCTTTAACACATTGTTTAATACCGCATTCCCTGCTTACGCTCACTTCAAGAAACATTGCAGCTGGGCTAGAGCCGAGATAAGATGCATGTTGCATTTTTGTCTAGTCGGCCCATAGTGCCGCGCTAATTTATTGCAACAAAAGTGAGTAGCGTGCATTCAATAACCCTTCAACAGGCCTCAGGATGGCAGCCTTAGTTTAAGTTATGCATTAAGTCAGTGATGCCCTTCTGGCTGTCGCACTCCTTTCTACAATTACACTCTCACTGTTAACTACTACATTTGCCACAAACATTAATTTAATCATTGATCATAGATGTTAGTCGTTGGTATGGGTGCCACCAAGCGTCAACGTGGGTGCATTTGCATTAAGTGGCGCTTTAGCTGCCGAGCACTAATATAAATCGTGCTAGTTATTTCATGTCATTGTACAACAAACATTCAAGTATTAAGAGACTAATTTGAAGCGTGAAAAACAAAGACCGAAGAGAAGAGTGCAAACGGCGAGTGCTAAATTTTCTCTTCGGTCCTTATTTTTTGCTCTTTAAATTTGTTCCTTAATGTCTTACAAACTCGCCTGACCTCTTGTTCTTCTAAACATCGAAATACTTCTGTAAGGACGCATCTTACTTTCGTGTTATACCAGTTTCTATGGAAAAGGGATCAACCATGTTTTTTCTGTGTGCTTGCAGTCCAGCCGGAAATGTCCGACAAAGGTGCTGCCCTGATGCCTGATGGATCCGTAAGTTTTCGCTTTGCCTCTCTGTGATCCCAGTGGCTATAATCAGAGGGCCTTGATGAAACCTTGCCTCCAGTGATTCATGCCATGTGTGGTCTTTGGTGTAGAAAACTTTTTAAATGCAAATGCATTTCTTAGTCGGGTTATGTCAGGCATCCATTGAGATCCGTCCACCGCCCTTTTCCTTAGCAACAGCTGCGGGCACGCGCGTCCCTAGCAACAGGAGCTTCCACCATGTCACGCTTCGGTGTCGGCAGAAGTCAGCAACAGGTGCAAGCTCGTACGCTTGTTCTCTCCCCTAGCAACCAGAGCCCCCACCTTCTTGACTTGAGTGTGACATGCCACCGCCTCAATGCAGTGCGTTTGAAAGACGTTTGCAGCGTTTGTGGTGCCAGTGTTTGTGTAACATTTGTGTTGATAAAACGCTGACATGGCAGTCAGGTACGCTGACACGTGCAGTGCTTTGCCGCTCCTTCTTCTACCATTCGCTCTCTTTTCTCTCTGTGCCTCACTTTCCCGTCTGCTCGCACCTCATTCTCGACCATTGACTGGGTGGGTGCCTTTCAAGAACATCTGGAAATGTGTGCTTGAGACGCCACTGTGAAACGCCAACGCTGAGCCTAGAACGCTGTTTGTTTTGCTCACTTCATAGTATTTCTTCACCGTGCACGCTGGCTACTAGAGCTGGACTCGCATACCTTGTTTCTCGCGACAGAAAAATGCCATGTGAGGTGAACGACGCTATTGGCTGCACGGTGTACGAAAAAAAACATTATTCTACTGATTCTGGGTTCTCACATGTGAAACACCGCTATGGACTCTACACAAGGCATTCGCATTTCCTCGCGCTATCCTTTGGTGAGGGGGGTGGGGGCATTTTTTATTTTTTTATTTTATGTTTCTAGAAAAGTGTTGGATGTTGCAGTTACCTGCTGACATGCCAGGCGCCAATGTTTTAGTTCTACAGCTGAACCCCTTTGTATTCAAAAAAAGTTGCGCTGATTTACTACATTGAAAACAGTGTACTGCGAGAATATTTCCGAGATAAAAAATTTTCTGGTCACGTGGCTGTCTTTTGAGCTTCCCAGAATGTCGCCTGGGGGTTGTTTTTGGAAAATTTCGTTTTAAAAGTACCACTCTTTCTTTATATACCAAATTTGATCTACATGTTAAGTAAATGTGCTTCTGTAAGGTATTTAAAGTTCAGTAATATTAGTGCGATTTACCCAAAATGTATTATGTTTGCATTTTTTCCATTGCAATTCTGCACTTTGTATGAATATTCGAGCAGTGAATACTTACTCCACAGAAGGTATATTTTGAGGAAACATTATCTTTAGGGCTCTCAAGCGGTTAAATTTTACAAGAAGAAATCGATAATTTCACAAAATCGTCATTTCTGTCCATATTCAGATGCAATTTCCATCACATATTGGTTCAAATAAAAATTATCTTTATACTTAAATCAAAAGCAAATGAACAGTTATTTTTACATGATGAATTTGATCATTACAACTTTTGTTTCAAGGAAGAAAATAATTGTTAAAGTTTCCCAATGGTGGCTATCTCCCCATTTGGTTTTACAGCAGCCACCTTGAAATTCCCGATCGTAATCGATAAGAGTTTAAAAATTATTTTCTTCCTTAAAAAAATATAATGATGAAATTTGCCATATACAAAGAACTTTATTTGCATTCAATTTAAGCATTAAGGCAATTTTTAGTTGGACCACCACATTTTTAATAATGCCATGTTCCTTTCCCTAAGTTTTCTTATCACCGCGCTACACGACGTTCAGTGCAAACCACACCTACGATGTTCGAGAAGCTTTGAGGCTTTAGTAGATTGTTTTGTCAAGATTATGCCTACTTCGGGAACAACACAGATTATTCGGGAAACTACGTCGCCGCTAGCGATAATGCTAGAATATTCGATGGCAAGGGTATAAATGCTGACACGCTTTGCCGCTTGTCGGCTGATCGACGGCCAACACTGCATTCGCCGCTATCATTGCGAGTGTGCTACTGTAACCCGACTTTCCGTTTACCGGGCACCGGTTCACCCAAATAAACAGTTTCATCTGACTATCCAGTCTCCTGCCTTCAACCACGTCACAACCTTGTGATAATATTTCAATATTTTAGTTGGACCATTACATTTTTAATATTTTAAACCTTCAAATCATATATTCATTCACAGCACATATTGGTATGGGGAAAAAATATATTCACACTATTCACAGAGTAAATTCAGCACCTGACAAGATGGTGCCGTCATCTGTCGACGTCATCTTTTATGTTCTTTTCATCATCCGCTTCTTCCCGTTAAATTATTTCGCTGCGACTGGAGCACCGACCTTGTGCTAATTGGGCGGCAGTTGAGTGATAAGGGGTTTGAGGTGCATAATCTGTACTGTGTGAGTACGAGGGTGAACGAAAGTGGGGTTACTTGTGGTGATTGCTTGGGTGACGTTGGTCACTTGGCGTAAGATGTGGTAAGGGCTGGAATAGCTTGAGAGTAACTTCACCGAAAGTGCAACATGGCATGAGAGTGACCAAGCTGGGCACCAGGACGACGTGCGTTGTATACTCAAACCTCGATTTAACAAAACCGGATATAACGAAATATTGGTTATAGTGAAGTAAGTGAAAAATAGTCTTGCAATAGATATATTGTTAGGAATAAACCTTCATAACGAATTTTCGGATATAACAAACTCATTTTTGTGTAATTTTGTTATAGCGAGGTTTGAGTGTGTAAGTGCCTCTGATTGTTCTGCGAGTCTGCTAGTAGTTGTTGAGCAACTTTACCCGTCTCCTGGGCCTTTGTTATTGCTTCTCAAGCGTACTCAGTTGAGTAACTTAGTCCGTTCAGCAAGAGTGTGTTGAAGGTAGTGCAGGGTCGTGGCTGAACACAAGAAAAAATGGAGAGAACCCAGCAGCGTTGTGTCGAGGCGAATCTGACAATACTACAAGCACAAAATGGCCAACATATAACATTTTGACCAAACTCTTTGAGGTGTATAAAGCAGGAAAATTGTATGCAATATTTCTGAGCTTTGAGCACCTTGAATGTCTTTTCATAATGTGTGAACCAAAGTCGGCATTGTCGCGAGATATGCTACTCTCAAAATGATTTCTCTAATGACCATCATTGAGATAAGATTCTTCAAAATTAAGAATGCTCCTATGTGAGCCAAAAAATTTTTCTCTCTGAAATTTTCTAGCAGTTCATTGTTTTAGATGCTGTAAAACAGGCCAGTTTTTTTTTAATGCACTTGAGATGATTGCCAAAATGGCTGAAACTTGAAATGACCCTACGTAAAAATTAAACTGTATGATTAGTACCAGCCATAGCTTGACCTTGCTCAGTACACATGTAAAAACACATGCCAGAAATGTACAAGGTGTCGTTCTTTGTTCCCCGCTACAGAGTGCACCAAGCTTGAAGCTGTTCCGGTGCGAGCACTGCGACTATGTGTCGTATAGCCGCAAGGGCTACCTGCGCCACCTGGTCGACCACACGGGGGTGTGGCCCTTTGCGTGCGACCTCTGCAGCAAGGGCTTCATTGAGCGAAACCAGGCCGAGCGGCACATTCGCACAGCGCACACGAGTGAGAGCTACCCGTGCCCCAAGTGTCCCCGCGTCTTTGTGCTTCCTTCAAGTTTCCAGGATCACCTGCAGGCGCACGAGGAGCAGCGGGGCAGCACGTGCAGCCAGTGTGCCAAGTACTTTGAGACGCAGGGCTTGTACGACCTGCATCTTCAGGTGGGTCATCTGTGCTTTGCACTGACATTCGACCCTAGCCAGAAGTTCACTCCAGTAACACTGCAGTTTCTCAGTTTGGTAAAAGACTGTCGAAGGTTTCAGTGGGAAATCACCTCAGCATGGCTTCATCCCTCCATGCAGTTGTGGCCAGTAGTGGTGCCAAAGGTTATTCCGCATCTGTGGCAGGCCTGCATGGTTATTTAGTATTGTCAGAGGGCTAGAGAGGGGGGGGGGGGTAGTATTGTCAGAGGGTATTGTCAAAGTCAGAGTATTGTCAGGGCTTTAGAAACAGTGGACCTGGTATTAGCAGCATTGTATACAAGCTGCATGCCTTGTGTTCTACCAAGCCAAGTTTGCATCCCACACACGTGCAAGGTCATTGCCTCTATTTATTGGGTGTGCTAACAATGTCGCGATTTGGGCCAGCTATTTATAAGCTGTTTTTTTTTCCACACGGTACTGTATGAGCTACTTCTCGACTCATTCGTGTCCCATGCATCAAACTGCTGCGATAGGCACACCATTAACTCTAAAAAAAGCTCAACTGTGTGCACGTGACAAAATGGTTGATCGCTTAAATGGGCTAAAAGGAAAGTTTGTTACCTAATTTTCTTGCAACGTTACATACGCAAACACCAAGTAACCTTTACTCGGTAGGATTTTAGTTATTGCCTCGTATGAGCAGTAGCCAAACCCTACCATTATGTCTGACTCCATGTAGTGAAGGCTCAGCAGGCCTCTGAACCAAATAATACACAGCTAAATGCTTTGGTTTCTAATTCACCGAACTAGCTGATTTAGTTGCGTGCTTCATGAACACGCTGAGCTAAGTTCAATGTGACATCTGTGCTTGTGCACCAGGAGTTATGTAGCGCTGGCACTAGGCATACCCCTGCTTTTCACGCATACAGTGAATGTTGCGCAGAAACGCACGTCACTCAAAGTGAATGACAACCTTTAGAAGTTGCCTCGCCCCAGTGGTCTAGTGGCTAAGGTACTCGGCTGCTGACTCGCAGGTCGCGGGATCAAATCTCGGCTGCGGCGGCTGCATTTTCAATTGAAGCGAAAACGCTGTAGGCCCATGTGCTCAGATTTGAGTGCATTTCAAAGAACCTCATGAGGTCGAAATTTCCCAAGTCCTCCACTACAGCGACTGTAGTAATCAGATGGCGGTTTTGAGACGTTAAACCCCACATATCGATCAATCATCAATTAATCAATTATCAACCTTTATAAGTCAAGCAGGCTGTTGCAAGAGTTGCCTGGTGATGTTCATTGGTTGTATTCTGCAGTTTTGCTGTTCTTGATTACATGTTGCAGATATGTAAAGAGGTCATGTGCTATTTGGATGCAATGAGATTCATTATGTCAATTGATTTTCAACATAGTGTAGCAGTAATCTCTACTGTTAATGATATTTTTCAGCTATATACGAAATTTTAAATTGTTCAAAATGAACTAATAAGCATTTTATTGCATATAATTCACTTGAAAAAGGTGGTTTCACTGCAGTGTAGGCTTTCTATGCCATGGAGATTGGAGCCACTTTTCCCACTTCCACGAAATTTGAACTTCTGTGAAGCCATACTTCATGCTAAAAGGTGCTTATCACATGCAAACTGATTAGCAAATTTTTAATTTTAAAAGCATGTTGTATGACCTTTTATAGGCCACGTATGGCAAATTTTATAACATTAACGTATTGTGCTACTAATAGCTTGTGCCATGCTATTATTTGAATTTGCTTTCAAATTATTCAATGACAGTGGCCACTCACTTTGCCTTCATTCCAAAGCAAGAAAGTTATATTCGCACGAACCTCGGATTTTATGTACTTTCCACATCTCAAAATAGAAAAGCCGCTCGTTCCCCGATAGAAAATTATTAACACTAGGCTTGTGCAAATAGTCAATTTTAGTCTTGAAGCGAATTAGTGATTCGGTCGAATAATTTCAATTTGAATTATGGTATGTGCCACACATTATAAAGAAAAAAGAGCATATTTGTCATGACCCAACTAACCTACTCGTTACTTTTTTTTTAAATCAAGCAAGGCATGTTCAGCTGTCATTCTCTGTGGTACAAGGGGAAGTCAAAGCAACTTTGAGCAGTAACAGAAGATGACTTTCAGTAGAATGTGAGTGATAACCTGTAAAATATGTTACTTTTTCCAATTTACTTTACTGGGAGTATAACACGCTATAACCACCTTCTAAACTTAAAAAAACGATGACTCAATGTGAGGGCATTATGTTCATTCGGCTTTGAAGTGGGTCTTCACGGCAATGCGAATTTTCTTTGGATAAATAAATGTATTCATGGCATAGCACTCCTTTGCTGCTGTGAAACTACCAATATATGTTTATTCGTTCATTTCGAATACTTTGATATTTTCAATAATTTAGACTCAAATCAAAACGAATTCGAATACTGTAATATTTGTTCAAATATTCGATGTGCTTGAATGTTTGCACAAGCTTAATTGAAACAGTCACTGCACTAACTGGAGGGACTAGAATTTGTACCATCTAGCCAGTCCTTTTCACAACTTTGATGCCAAGGCTGTGCCAGCTTGCTCAGTGTGTTTGGAGTATTTACGCTTTTTTCCGCCCACGAAAACCTCATCATTAGGTCTCATGTGTGAAAATTTTATTGTATTTACCAGCTGCCACTGCCACACTGTTAGTGAATGAGCAACAAATTTTTGTTAAACCCACAGTACTCACAATGATGAAGCATGACAGTGTAAACAACAGTACATAGTAAGCAGCCATAAAAAAAAAAACTTGCTAAAGAACCAAGAAAAGAAAAAAGAGGCTCTTATGTCGACAACTGTGCTTTCCAGAACAGATCACTGATGTTCACTGCCAGGTGTGCTACTGCTAATTAAAACAGTGATATTGTGCAATAATAAATATATAGGTAGGTGTCAACAGTTCTTTGTGCATTTTAGGTCAGTGGAATTGGTATTTAGTGCGACCTAGTGTGCGTAGTCCTTAAGTGACCGGATGTCGGGTCATCATGAGTAATACACAAAAAAGATGTTTCAAGAGACTTGGTAACCACCTGTAGAAATTTCAAAAGAGTTGACTGTTGGGCGATTTGATGTTTCAACATATAAACCACTGGGAATAGGGTAGCTGAACAGGACGCATGAAAAAGAACAGACGAGCACAGGCGCACACTAACAACGGACTTTGTTGAAGGCGGATCCCCACTTTTATATATTAACAAGCTGTGCGGGCGCGCTGTCACAATAACCACTATAACAAAAAGATCAAAGGAGGCAAAAAAGAAATCGAATTTCAGCATTGTACAGCCCAATAGAAGTGTCCCTTATGCACTCCTCAGCGGCTCTCATAATAAAACATGCCTCCAATGTTTTGCGACCCTAACGTGGAATCTGCCGAATTTTTTCGGTCTTCTACCACTTAAGATTTTCAGCAATCGGAATTGCAATTCACAGTAAAAGCATACTATGCAGTGATCAATGACATGACTTCTGTGCATTTTTCGTGTTCTCTGAGTCAGTCATTGAGGCAGCACCCCGTCTGGCCGATGTAGATTTTCCCACAGGACAAAGGAATCTTGTACACAATGTTCTTGGCACACTTAACAAAATGTTTTTCGTGGTTCTTTAAGAAGCTCGCTCAGCTGAGCTGTCACACCACCTGTGTTGAGCAAAAAGGGTGCTGCTTAAAGAACCATGAAAAACGTTTTCTTAAGTGTGCCAACATCGGGTACGATATCCTCCTGTCATGCGGCAAAGTCTACATCAGCCAGACGAGGTGCTGCCTCAATGACCGACTCAGGGAACATGAAGAAAATATGAATAATAAGTAAAGAAGTCGCCTCGTTGACCACTTCATGGCATGCCCGCACTGTGAACTGCGATTTCGATTTGCGAAAATCTTGAGCAGAAATAGACAAGAACGACTCGTGAAACACTAGCAGCAATTTATCAGGAAACATTTTTATCATGAGCGACACTTCCATTGCGCTGTAGAGTGCTGAAATTCAGTCTGTTTAATGCCTTGATTTTTTTTTTGTTATATTGGTTATTGTAACGGTGCACCTGCGCAGCTTGTTGATGTGTACAGTTGGGGATCTGCTTTCAATGAAATCAGTTGTTAGTGTGCGCCTGTGCTTGTCTGTTTTTTCCTTTGTGTCTTGTTCAGTTGCGCCACTCACGGTGGTTTATGTGACACTAGTTTATCTGTGACAATGCTCAACAGCCGACCGTAGATGCTCACGAAACGCGAATTTAGTGAATTGGTTCAATCAAAGATGAATCGCTACGTACGTACACTAGCCAACAGTTCATATGGCCAATACTATATATCAGTAGTTTGTGAAAACTCAACTGTCCTGTCTTCACCAATGTTCCTCCGTTGTGCAGGCCCACTCACGTGACCTGCACTACCGGTGCCACGTTTGTGGCCAGGGCTTCAACAAAATTGCCTCACTCAACTTTCACACCATTGTGCACAAGCACGAGAAGGCTGGCCCGAACACGTGGGGCCACGCATGCGACGTGTGCAAGAAGCGCTTCAAGTACCCGGGCAGCCTGGCCGCCCACCGCTACCGCCACTCACAGGAGACCCGCTTCAAGTGCGACCTGTGCCAGGTCACACTGCACTCCGAGGTGGGAAACCTGTTGCAATTGCTTAGGGTGCAGAAGTTAACAACAGGGCAGTTAATGAGGTGTCGAAATAATGATGACTAAGACCTAGAGGCCAACTTGTCTGGTATGGTGTTTGGCAAAATGAATTCGAAATTCGGTGCAAAATAAACAAATGGGACAACCCTCAAGGGATGTCGTGTCCTAAATGAGCTTTCTATTTGACACTGCCACACTGTTCAATGCAATACCATCTGCCACGTGCAATGTCAATCCGAATAGGGATTACTAGTAGCATAGAATATTGTCACATGGTCATGATGCTGAAGAAGGCAGAAGTTGGTGTGTTCAAGGCGAAACTCTTTACTTGGGTGAACCTGTGCCCGCAGAACAAAAACTCAAGCTACAGCAATACGCACTGTAAGTTGTGTCTACAGTCTCTTTACAACGAACCATTATAATCTGGCAACATGGGTCTGTATTATCCAAAGTTCATAATATTTTAACTTTCCATAAAGGGAGGGAGGAATGCGCGTTGCCGTGTGATGATCGGTCTGACCTCGTTCAGCGGTATGGGGCAAGCTAGTACCACTGATACATGCTGAATGTATTCAACAATGTGTTCACGAAAGACTTCAATCACCACCAGTGTTTATTAATAAAACTGCAGCGCAAGTTCAGAATGAGCAAGTGCCTTACAATAGGTGCAGGGATGCTATAGAGCCCCCACACTGCAGCTAGCTCGATAATAAAGAGTTTCAAATGGCCTTTTTCAGCCACTTCTCTTGATCGGCTAGGAATAAATTCTTTCTTATTTTTGTGGAAAGGAAGGCATATTTGTTTAAATTGGGTCGCCCATTGGCTGCTGGAATCTGTAGCTCACATGCAGTGTCAACGGCATGCTGGACGGTCCAAGGTTGGTCGGAGAGTTCTGAACTGAGTAGTACCAAGGGACTTCTCACATTAATATTCAGATTTGACAGTGAAACTCAAGTGCTTAGAGCACCAGAACGTCTTACTTTGAAAACATTGGTCACAATGCATACCAACGTGGCAAGGTTCTGTTTGGCGTTGCATGAGTCAGTTGCCAGATTTAGAGGTCAGTGTGGCCAAACTGCCACCAGATTTGGTGAAGAAATTTGTCCCTGTAGTTTTGCTTTCCCCATGAGGGCTCCGCGTCGTCCGCAGTGCAGTTTTCCGAGTGCATGTGCTATGTTGGCTGTTTTAATTAACAAAATTAACTGCGCATTGCAGAAGTCAGGGGTGCGTTGTCTTGCTGTGTGTGCAGCTGTGCAATTAAAAGGTCGGTCTCGATCGTGTCTCAGAACTAGGGAATCAACGACACGTCGTCCGCCATGCATTTCCTGAGTGTGTGTGCAACGTTGTTCGCGAGGGCGTGGGCGATGTTGGCTGTTTTAATTAACGGAATGGACGACGCATTGCAGAAGTCGGGGCATATTCTCTTACTGTATGCGCAGCTGTGCAATTAAGAGGTCGGTCTCGATCGTGTCTCAGAATTAGAGAATCAACGCCCATCGGCACGTATGAGTACACGCTCAAGGGGAACTGAATTTCAAGCTGAGAGGCAATAAACAATAATTAACTGGAATTTTTGTCATTTGGCTTATTGTGGGTGGAGCCCTGCAGGTAACGGCGGCTCGCGGGGCGGTGTCCCATTTACAGCTACGCACGAGTCGCACTTAGTTCACTCCAGCAGCATCGATAAAGCAGGCTTTTGGGCATATATAGCTGTAGCATATTCAACGTACCCCAATTATCCAGCCTTGGTACATTTATACTTAATATGAACACGAGTTTGAACGATATGTCTTGTGCTGACATAGCTAAGGGAAGCGTAGTGTACATCCCCATCGTTGCGCGTGGTCGACGCGGCAAAATCAGCTGTGCAGAGAGCTATACTTCCTACTTCTGAGACACGATCGGACACGGTCAGAAAAGGAAGCGCACCACCTGCTGCGACTCTATTCAGTTTCCCCAGAAAACGCGTTGTCGTGCATAGTCCACTAAGTTCGCACAGCTACGGAGATATTTTATAATTCGGTGACATGAGTCGACGTATATTGAAATGCTGCGCACAAATTCAGTTTCCCTTGAGCGTGTATTCATACGGGTTGTTGTGCATTGATTCCCTAACTCTTAGACACCATCGAGACTGACCTTTTAATTGCACAGCTGTGCACACAGCAAGAGAACGCGCCTTAACTTCAGCAAACACGCTGTTCATTCTGTTAATTAAAATGGCCAACGTCACACACACACTCGCAAAATGCACCACGGCCGACACAGAGCCCTCACGGAGAAGGCACAACTACAGAGGCAAATTTGGTGGCAGTGTGGCAGCACTGACCCCCCAAGTCTGGCAACAATTTATGCATTGCTAAACAGAACCTTGCCAACAATGTTACCGCATTGAGTGATGAACTTAACGTAAAACACGCACAAGAATTTTTTTATTTATACTGAGCTCACAGAGAAGGTTGTGATAAGAGCTTAGTGAGCACCCTTGAGCGATGATGCAATCACTTAGTGCGCATTTCAGTCAACTGCAACACTTCAACCAACACTGTGCTGTACCAATGAGCTCTCAGAGTGATTTGGCTGGAGGCTTGACTTGGCGAGAAGTTACCAGTGTAGCCATCCACAACATAAAATTGCTGTGGTATTAGCGTTTAAAGAGTGGCATAATTTAGTCTACTGTCAGCCTATGTCAACACGACAAAAGCACGCTTTTTGCGCATAATTTCGAAGAAAAATGCCACTAACAGTCGATGACTGTAACTAGTTGCCTTGAAACGTTTCCTCTATTATGTCAAATGAATAATCTTTTTCTTAGTTAGAATGACCATGTCTTCTTTTGTTTTTTCTTTAATATTTTTATGTTTTCTTTAACATTATATGTTATGCTCTCAAACCTCATTATAACGCATTTGCATCGTACATGAAAATAGCTCGTTAAATTAAAAAATTTGTTGTAAAGGTATACCGCATTTACTCGCATAATGAACCCACCCCCCACCTTGGTCCTTTTTTAATGTATCTATTTATTTTATATCGGTAGGGTAGCCAGTGCCATTGACGATGGAAACAACGTTAAATCAAGCTATTATATTGCAAAATAGCAATGCAATAGAAGTCAAAACATAGTTTCGCAACCATGCTAAACAGTTGCGAGCAGTGTGAGAGCGGACGACGTCAATCAAAATTTGAAAGTCCCGCCTTTTGCAACAAAGTGCCATCTGTCGAATGCAGAAAAAATCTCTTTGCTGATAGCACCACGTAAGCACAGCGGCACAAAAGCAAAGCAAAAAAACAAAGTGCGTGGCCTATGAAATGGCGGGCGTGCGGTGTTGAAACACTGCACACTTGCGCCATCACTGAGGCCATGCAAAGCGCAATCGCACCCACAATGTTCGTGTGCTGCTATCCAGCGCTGCGTTTTTGTTGTCAGGTGTGTTGTTGTGAGCTTAATTAGGACACCTGTTGCGCAAGGCGCATCGGCTGGTGCGCTAGCTACATGGCTGGTTACAAACAGCATGCGCTGGAGCATGGGAACAGAGCGGCTGGGCGACACTTGTCGATCCGTGTCCTTTCGTTACGGGAGGAAACAAAAAGAGGTTCGGGCTACAAAAAATATTTGTCGCGCATTTTACGGGCCAAAGTAAGCAAAGCCCTCACGCGAAATTTTTTGTTTCAACTCCCATGACTTTTTTTTCCCGCGTAATGAACGTTCTCCCCAAATTGACGTCAACTTGTCTGAAAAAAAGGTGCGTTCATTATGCGAGTAATTACCATATCTGAAACATGTGCAGTATCGGCGCAGTGCTGCCACACTTTATTTTTTCATGTGATGTAAAAAAAAAAGTAATGCCACACAAAAAGGAGATACGTTCACGTTGTTGACTGTACTCCTGTTGTCACTGTCGAAGCTGTTAATGAACTGTCGAAGTGCTATGCAGCAGATGAAAATAGATATTCGCCATCTCAACCGCAAACACTGACCTCTGTCGCTAACAATCAGCGAACGAAATTCTTCTGGATGAGTCTGACAGCTAGGACAATGTGGCTACCATCCTCCCATGCTCGCGAGCACTATCGCTTCATATCAGCTTCTCACTTCTGGTGATGCTAATACTTGTGTCCCTTTTGGCATCGTTGCGCAACTGTAAACAACTGTTTGAATTGGCCACAAGATCGAACAGAGTCGCCGCCTGGCGGCAACAAGCCAAAACGGTAAAGTGTGGATTGCTCTTCGCGCCTTCTGCTAGCCACGTCGTGTTTCTATGTGCGAGTACGTCATAAACTTTCTCGAAGTGTGGTTTGTGTGGTCATGTCAGCACGAGTGTAACTGTTTCTACGTAGGCGTGAAACGACGTACGAAAGCATTTGGTCTTGCCCGGCTGCTAATGCATTGCAATGGGATTGGCGAGTGCAAGTTTCCAGAGTGCTGTTTATTGCCGTCATACCCTTCATTTACCACAAGGATTTCGGAGTGGGTGCCACTTTCTGTTTCAAGCACATCGCAAAATGTTTTTGGCATCCTCACAAACATGAGGACTATTAAATTCTGTATGAATGCAGCGTTTTATAGCCACTTGGTTAAAAAAAAAAAAAAAAAACAGGCTCTAGGACATGCACTTGTGTGCTGTTGGTGGGTGTACTACTACGGCACTGTAGTTTGTCAATCATGCGAGGAGCGTTAGTTGCGTTTATCTGGCCGTGGTACCACTGCATAGAAATATTTCTGTCACATAAGCTGCGAGACTTCGGTACTTACACTGTACTTAAAGGGGTCCTGCAACACTTTTTGAGCATGGTCAGAAAATGCTGTCGATCGGTAGTAGAGGCTCCCGACAACACGCGAGCCAAATATTATAGCGCAGAACGGGGCCTAGAATTCAAAATAAATTGTAAAAGTCAGCTGAAGATGCTTTCTCTTCTCTTGACAAATTACGGAACAAGCCCAAAAATCGCTCGTAGTAAGCCCATCTACCAGCCATTGGCTTATTTGAACATGGCGCGGTCGGTTGTTACAGCGGTCGTCGCGAGAGGCTGTCACTTGTCCATGCACGCGTGCGCGATGGCACTAAAAAAGCCGCGTATTCGAAAAAAAAAAAAAAGAAAAAAGTGCTCAAGGTCACGAGGAGCGAGTGACGTTTTTTGTTTGCCCCTCTCATCCTTCCCTGCTCAGCTTCCAGCGCTTTCATCGGGACGAGAGAAGAGAGAATGCGATTGCAGCCTGTGACAAATCTTTGAAACTCTGCTTCTACTGGACGGATTCTTAAAATTTTTTCAAGGTTGATTTTGTGAGCTTATAAGCTTTTCCAGTCAATTAATTCTATGGTTACTCAAAAAAGTGTTTCAGGGCCCCTTTAAAAGAGGGTTACCGTGTGTAACCATGCGCTTAGATTTAAGAACGCTTTAAAGAGCCCAGACGTTGAAAATTCATTCAGACAGCATGCCTTATATGTAATGTGGTATAATTTCACTGAAAATTTCATCTTTTTTACATTGTTTCCAGCGTTTGTGTGGCATTGTTGGTGACCGACGAACAACAGTGGTAATTTTTTGTCCGAAAAAAAAAAAAAAAAAACAGTCTCATTAACCAGGCTTTTGTTGTAGCACCGTCACACACATAATCCATCGTAAAAGCTTTCTGCTGAATTATTATATAAGATTTTTATTGGTGCAAGAACATGTGCACACACGTGCTAAACGCAGCTTAGTGCAAAGCGCCACTAAGCTTCCCTGTCTAGACTTATCAACTGTCCCACATTTCATGGCGAACAGAATGAGAGAGAAAAAATTATATGCGTATAAGGTGTGAATGGTGGTACTGAATGAATCGCATAGATAAGCGGGCTTTTTACGATCTTTCTTTCTTGGTTTTGTAGTATGCAGATGACAAAGATGTAAGTAAGGAGTTCAGTGACACTACAGCAGTGTGTAGCAGGCGGAACACAAACTAACCACATACAAACAACACAGCAAAGGCGTGATTCATTTCGAAAGCGTGAAGAGAGTTCCCAGTGCGAGCATCTTTATGAAAGACGGAATGCTCTTTACTCGCAGGTAATGTTGACGTTGCATAGACGTCGTGCACCGATTTAGTAGAGAAGAGCGTAGATATTAACAGTAAACTGTAGTCGAGGCATTTTATCCGCCGAAAATCGGCTCAAACCGCACACAACGAAGCGCTGCTGCGTGTATTTGTGTACATGCCGCCGGCTGCCTATCCACTTAGCGCGGAGACTATGCTGCCACCTATAACCTGATCTCACCGCGAATCTTCTGCAAGCTGTCCTTGGGCCACCCGCGCACACCATAAAAGTGTTTTTCGGCTATCTTTTCTCACAATCATTGAACCGCACTATCTGCTGTGATCTCGAGGAGCGCCCAAAAGTGTGCGCTACGATGCTACGACGCACTTGGTTGACTTCGCAGCTACCGTGACACCACCGTTAACATTGTAGGAAGTAACCAGCATTCCAGCAAGCTACCTCCGAAGCATCAAAGCAAACCGTCGATAACAAGATTAACAACAAAATACAGCCACCGCCTCGCTTCGCATGAGAAGTTCCTATACGCACAGATAACAAGCAAAAAGAGAATCGGAGTTGCTACCGAATTGCGGAAATCGTCACGATATTTTCTGGATGACAAGCTATTTTTTTCTGGTTTTTCAGAAACCTGTGACGCAGTAACAATGAATGACCCTTCGCAACAGCAAATTCTGGCATCGTCGCTCGAAAATCGCGTGTGCATGGTTGGGCTTTTTCGTATTCGCAAGAATCAATCGTCGGTTGGAGCGGGCAACTTCGTTATCTTTGCTCACTGCGTGCTTCTCAGCTGCGATGTCTATACTTGCACCGTTTGTGAACCCCGCTGTGGCACACAGATAAAATGGTAGGCGTTCTGTGCACAGATAGAAAGAAAAGCAATACGGCACGCGGCAACGGGCGAAGTGGGGGGCGGTGGAGGAAGCGAGCCGAGATGGCCGGGGGGGGGGGGGGTCGGCAAAGTAATAAAAAACGGAAGAGATCTAACAGGTAAGAAGACGCCAGGTGTTGGTTAGCGGAACTGCAGCAGATGAATGTAAAGGGTGCGTTTATTATGCGGGAGAAAAAAAATCTAATTTTTGATGACTGAAGTTGGGGATGTGTTTATTATGCGAGTGCTTTCATTACACGAGTAAATACGGTAAACCACCCTAAAAAATGCAAATGTGCAAAGTAAAATGAGGCAGTGTTTACATGGGTAAGTTGTTCTAATCATTAATGGTGCGTGGAAAAAAAGAGTATCTGAATAGGTTAGTTGGGGCAAAATAGGGGGTTAAAGCATATGGGTGATGTTGGCAAGTAAGCCTCATTAATAGTGAACTTAAATAAACTGCTAGATCGAGTGCGAGTTTATCAGTAACTGTGAAACAAGGTTAATCCGTAGTTTTTTTTTCTACGCAATTCAAGAGTGGGAATATCATTTCACTGCATCAGTTCAATTGGTGAGTCAATAGTAGAAAACTTAATGTAAACAAACCGGGTAGCCATTCTTTGGATTCATTCAAGTTTTGTTGCGTTATATTGTGTGTAGGGGTCCTATGCATTGCAGGCGTGCTCGATCTTTGGCCGAATGAAGTAATATGTGAGAAGTTCAAGAGAGGCAGGAGCGTGTTTAAGCTCGTATTTGACACAGCAGAGTTTTTGACAGGCGGAGGAAGATATGTTTCACAGATATCTTCCTCTGACTTTTGCACATATCTTTTGCATAAATCTTCTCTTCCCCTGAAAATAAATTCTTCCCTCATATCATGAGCCACAGGCTCATATGCTCATATAAGCCACAGGTTGCCAAAAGATTGTTTCGTTTATTGAAGGAAGGAAGAACCATTGAAGGAGTCAAATGAGCCTTATGGGTGGTACCAGCTAGGAAAGAGTAAAGTGAGCAAGGGAGTGTTCAAACAGTGTGGTGACATGCCCCCACTAGTTTCGAATCGGTAGAAGCGACCTTTCCACATGGCGTGGGGCGCTAGCACCCTGTTTGGGTCTTCAAGAGCGCATGTTAGGCGGACTCGGCTCGGTGCCATTTTCCAAGTGGTGCCTGGGCTATTGTACCTGCTCGCCTGCCCCCCAGTAATGCCACTGCATACACGAAAAGTGACGGCCAGCATCATTGCTAGTTTCCGAAAAATCATCGTGATATGACAACGATGACACCTCATGATGTGGTCGTAGCATAACATATCACCAGAGTTCTTTATGTCATCATAAAGTCATTGTGATGATGCTGTGGCATCACAATGTGAGGTCGAATGACGGCGTCATCAGATGTTATTGTCACACGGTCATAGATAAGCTGATCCTGGAGCCATCCCATACGCCTGAACATTGTAGGCTGTACGTTATCTGCACGTTATCATTGTTACACAGCACTATATCTTTGGCTAGAGTAAAACAAAGGGTAATGAAAAAAGCTGTGTAAAGTAGGGTAATTCCGACTATGGCATAGGGTATTTTCCAAATTGGTTGGCAACACTGTGTGTGCATTGGATTCAGAGGCGTGTTGGATTTGGGTAAGTATGCGAAATTGTGACGGTTTCTGTTCACACGTTATTAATTAGGCATTTCTGTATGACAGTGCTATACGGTCCCTCATACAAAACACAGCTCATTTTTTATCGATTTCATCTTTGTGCCTGCAGGGAGTCTTTGAGGCACACATGCGTCGACACCGTGGTGAGAAGCCGTTCAAGTGCACCTTCTGCGATAAGGCGTTCACGCTGGCCATGTCTCAGCGTCACCACATCACCCGTTTCCACACTGGTGACTACCATATCTTCTGCCCGCTGTGCAACAAAGGTGTGGTCTCCAACAAGATGCTGCGCCGTCACCTGTTCCACGTTCACAGCACGGTGTTGCGCAAGGCAGTGCCCGTGATGGAGGACAGTGGCACCTCCTTGGAAGTGACCACGATAGACGAAGCGGCTGTGCTGGCCACTGCGGTTGAAGAAGAAGACAGTGTCGTCGAGCTCCACCCTGGAGAAGCGGATGACACGCTCAGTGTGGCAGACGACGGCACCCTGACTGTTACCCTGCCGGCCGACGCACTGCTGCTCGGTGCGGTCGAATCAGTTCAAGGGGTGGAAACGGTCGTTGAGACTGTACAATTTCAGTAATGTCTCTGGATTATGATCCCCCTTTTTTGTGCAGTTGTTGAGGTTGTTCTTATAGTATCTTTTTACTGTATGTTGACAATAAAATGAAGTTGTCGAATGCAAATCACAGCCTGTATGTGATGATGCCCTAACAAGTATCCTTGAAGGTCGCAACATTTTTTGAGTAAAATAGGGGTCTCGATGAGCAGTGATTAGCAAAAATCTTTATTGTACTATCAGCTTTTATTAATTTGACCCACACAAGATTTATAAAATTGGATAAATAAATGTTGAGTGAAATTGAATGAGAAGCAGAAACAAGCACCAAGACAAATTCTAATTCATTTGACAGCATGTTTCATGATTCTGCCACTCCCTCCAAATCACATTTGCACTTATGTTTGATGAACTAGTACGTGTGTCACATGGGCACTTTTGGAAGGCCATCCAGTCGATGGCCATCAAAACACTGCTGCTCAGTTGACTTGATGTTGTAGTCACACCACTGCATGGCATTTTCGAATAATTGTTGCGTGGTTCAGGCATTTCCCGTAAAAACTGTGTGGCACTGTGGATCTTTCTGAAAAGCATGCATGTCATACATTGGCACATAAATGCAACTTCTTAATATAAGCAATAGCCCTCAAGCCAGTTATTAAGTAGTTAACAATGTTTTGTTAATTAATTACAACAGTGCCATTTCAGCTGGCAGTATTTCCACCTCGACATTGAGTTTGTGTGTGAATATGACAGGAGCCTTACCATCTTGAAATTTTTGTCGTCTAAAGAAAAAAAAAACACCTGGTGTGCACCAGCTTAAATTTAGGAGTGGTTATAGAAACATTGGGAACCCGTTTTTTACATCAATCCAATGTACCGTATGTCTTTGAATTTCTGTCATCATTCCTTCAGCAAGAAAAGTATGATTTGTGGAAAAACTTACGACAAATGAAGATACGGTTTGAGTACTAATATGATGTGTCCATCAAGTGAAATTATCTTCAGAAATTTTCTCGGCTGCCAGAAGATTAGACACTTCATATCTCATTCGTTCACAGCGCCCTCGGCCTATTTCTTCGCATGTGTGTTTTGTGCGTCATCCTGAGTTAACATCGACCAGATGATGTCGATGCCATAATGTAACCATCATAACACATCTATTGGCATCTTCAGCTGAGGCTGGCTGAAGTGCAGGGTGGAAAGGAAGTTACGTCAAGCACAATCCTAGTTTCATGCCACGCTACGGACCAAACGAACGTGTGAACCACAAAACATGAATCTGCTACAGCAGCGCTGTATGCAAGAGACACCATTTAGCAGGCAATTTTCAGCATCCTGTTTGTACTGGTAATAAGAGAGCAAACAACAGAAAATCAAACAATGAGAGGAGCTTGAGAGATGCTACATGTTCAGTGGTTGTGCATCTATTCTCCAGGCGGTTGTGATGCGTCGACTCTGTACTAACTCGACGAGGGTTACGGTAACTTTCGCATCGCCTGCGGTGCCCAATGGAATCCTGGCAGCAAAAGTAGCCTTGTACGAGTACGTACTAGTCGGACAATGTAAGCTCACGCACGTTTTTCGTCCTGCCCAGCCGTGTTCTTTGGAACGTCACCACGTCGTCTGCCAGCCTGCAGGCACCTTCACAGTGTCACGGTGGCGTGCACTTGTGTCATGGCCGGCGCAACCGAACATGCAGCGCCGCATGCGTGGTGCCCAGACGAACGTACGACATCGCACGAGTGCCCAGAAAGGACCACTGGTGCCGCTAGCCGTAGATGCCATATTTTAGCATCAAATGCGAATTCTTTGGCTGTATTAACTGAAAGGGAACAATTGTGGTAGCTTACCGCATCATTGCAGCTGACAGTAAAGTTGATATTATTGATCAGCTTTATCTTTTAAGGTACTGGGTAAAACATGAGCATATAGATGTTTTCTGGTGTAACTTTCCTGCTTGGGAGTTCAATACACACAGCCAGTTAGGGACATCAATTGGACACTAAACAAAAACATAAAGTCAAACTGGAATAAACAGGGGCCTTCAAGAATGTGTCGCAAGTTTTCTTGGGTGTGAAAAAATTATGTACCTATTAGTAGATGTATCTGTAAGCAAAAAACCGAATATCTCTTACTCAATTGCTCATGCCAGTATCAGTGCTGAAGCAATGTCAAGAATCTCGTAGCTCTCGGCAAATTAAAAGCCAACACGATACATCACCGCTTGTGCAAATAGCCATTGAGTGATCACGGCTTTCGTGATTTCCACGGTGGATGTAGTCGCAGACTTTGAACCTGGCAGCAATGTTTTCACTATTGAAGCAGAAGTGCATTTCAGTGAGTCTGAAATAATCCCCCATGCTTTAGCAGCAGCTCTTTCTGGGTAAGATGTCTGGCATCAACCGATGGAATGCAAAACCTCGGTTTCATAGACGCATCTTAGACAATTGTGGAATAACGTTTGTGTGCACCTGTATTTCATTAATGCTGATTTCTTTTCGGGGAACAGGAGCAGAAGCGTTGTGAAGTGAAGATAGGGGCGGCAGAGCAGGGCTATACAGGGCCGTTCAATATGCCCAAGGAGTGTCACGCTCATACAAAGGGCAAATGGGAGGATGCCAGTGAGGAAAAATGTACCATGTGACCAAAACATCAAATCCCCTTACCTCTTTTGTACGACGGCAGCACACGTGCGAAATGCAACGAAAAATCCCTGCGAAGCTTACTTGTATGAAGGCATTGACAATACTGGGGCCAAACTGCATCTGGCTACATTATTACCACAGTGCTCACCAGCAGAAAAATATGTACCAATTAAGAGCTTAACATGATAAATAGCTCTCGACGAATAGTGACCAGACTGCATTTGCAGGGGTGCCGCAGCCGAAATAGATTTGCAGCAATTTTTGGAGCAGCGAAAGTTTACTTTTTGAGCACTAAAATGCAAATTTAGTGCAGGTTCCGGAGACAAAAAAACATCCTTTTTTTTTTATCACAGTTGACCACATTTGGAGCAGTATAAAAAGTGAAGGCTTACATTTAGAAAAAGAACGAGTACAAACCATTCAACATCACGTGGATCATGCACAGTAAACATGAGCACTGCTATTTCAATAATAGTATTTTTAACCACCCCACTGAGCAAAAAATGCTAAAGTCAACATTAGCATTCACCTCATCTTTCAGATACTTTCAACAGGCTCAGTGAATTCAAATGTAGATCTACCAAGCTGGCGACCTTGAAAATCGAGATTCGTGAAACTGAGGAGTAGGGGTGGGGAAAATAAAGCGCACCTTTTTTTTAACGCATCAGCAATGCCATACACTGCTCCAAGTCTTTGCCCGTATCATTTCAGAAGTCAGCAATCGTATTACTACTCACAGTTCTGCGGCGTATACACACATGAGTAAATAAACAAAATGAGCTGCATCTTGCAACTATTGCCAAGAGTCTCTTCCAAATTATATTGCGCTTTTTTTGCAGAACGCTGTCGTGCAGTGGCGAAGGTGACTTAAGCAGTGTTCTGCACGGGTTCGGGCAAAGCCATGAAAATTTCGAACACCACTGCACCCCCCCCCCCCGTTTTTTTTTTTTTTCAATTACATGGCTACTCTCGGCTGGATTTTGCCGAAGGCGCCGCCGTCACTCACCGTATATGTATACGTATCATACGTCTCTATATGTATGAAAATGCAAGAAAGAAAAATATTCCAGAAAAGACTCCCAGTCATGAGTGAGAGTCGTTAACCACAGAGCAACTGAGAAGCACATTCTTCAACGCTCAAATGACAATCTATTTATATCCATCAAATACCGCTGTTCACGGGCACCTCTGTGGGGGGGGGGATTTTGTCGTGTTTTTGGCATTACCAGCAAAATGGCACAATGAGCGCACATAGCCTAAAGGCTCCACATCATCACAACCATAGAGTTAATACACAGACTCAAGAGGAAAAGATCTCCATAGGGCCCATGTATTAAAAACCATAATCGCTCGGGTGCCGCCATGAAGGAACGATACTTCGCTTTCGGGTGACGTTCACTCGCAGTTAGCAGTTTGCCACAGCATGCTGGAATCACACTGGGTATTTTTTAAAATGCGAAGCATTTCTTAGCAAACTTAGGCGACTTTGAGCTTATCTATCTATCTATCTATTTATCTATCTAGCCGCTTATGTTTGGGTGCTCTCGTGGTCACCCCCTTAACTTGCCATGAACCAAAATTAGCAAAGGAGAGTAAGATGGTTTAACGAATATTACGCACTGGTCAAGAAATGAATAATGTCACAATCCGTCCCGTACGTCGTCAAACACTTCCCGCCAGGCAGTGGCACATACCCATGGGCGAGTATGTGCCGCTAATACGCGGGTATGTGCCACAGGTGATAGACACTCAGTATCTACCCAGGGACGACTAGAACACACACGGGCAATTTTAACATGTGAGCGTTAAGAAATACCTTACATCGGTAGCGTCGACCCAACGAATGCAAAGAATAAATGTTAGGGTCCCAGCTGGAATCGAAACCAAGCATTCTGCTTGGCAATGAAGCATTTTTACACAGAGCTACGCCAGGTCTCATAACTACTTTTCGGGGTGGCCTGAGCCCGGGCCAGTAACCCTGCAGGCTTTCTTCTTTTTATTTTTTAATAAAGTTTTCTGTCCCTCCGTCAAATAGACGCTAATCTTCGTGTAACGTCAATAGTGGTTGCAGAGCTGCCCACCTAATTTTATAGATATTACATAGATACTCATTCGATACAGCTGTCTCATCGGGTTAACGTCAATTGTGGTTGGTTGCCATGCACTGAAAATGATTTATGTAGCAGTGTCCAGGGCCAGCATCCTCGCGAGCATCAGCGCTTCATATCAGCTTCTGGTGTTGCTAATACGCATGTTCCAGTTGGCATCATTGCATAAGTGCTAACAACTGGTTATAAAAACATCTGCAACTCTTCAACATATGTCTATATAGGTCACCAACGTGGCCTCTATTTCTCACTGAAATTTGCGCAACTAAGAACATTTTGAGGCTGGTCGGGCATTTTGGCGCAATTTCAACAAGTTTCATGGTTTTGGTGCAGCTCTGCGCTCAAATGGGGATTTGTATCTAATTGGTGCAGCTGTTGCACCCCTGCATTTGTGATTACTGCAAGAATATTGCAGGGGCGTTAGTACCTATATACTTCAATTTTTTGCCATTTTCTGGCTTGTTAAAGCTCAGTTCACAAAAGGAAAGGCATAAATGTGATCACAGTGCCGTAATCTCCCATTGGAGTTCTACTCCAATGGTAGCATCCATATGCATGGCCACTGGAGACTAGGCACTGCAGTCGTCGCGACATGCTAAGTTGGATCACATATGCCACCTAGCTTCACAGAACCTTGCTTTGACAAAGAGAAGGCAGCGGTCCGAGCGCATATTTTTCAGACTTTTCCATTTAAATCTGCCTTGTCTTACCACCAGTTCAAGTGCACTGGCATTTATAAAGAACAATGACTTACAAAGCACAACCAATGTTTTTGGCCCCATGGTGCTGTGTGCCACAATTATTGCATCGTGCACTCAGAGGAGCAGGATGTAATTTCAGATTTGCAATTTTACCTCAAGGATAACGAGCATCAACACTCATGGCTCCCCAAGCTAACAAAGAGCACTCAAGCAAAGTTATGCACACATATTTGCATCAAGCATTTTCAACATGGCTACTCTGCGTGTAGTGGGAATGCCCATGTTAATTGGGTGAGCAACTGTGACACCTCCTCCCCCTTCCAGTGAAAGGTTCCACATCGCAAAGCCTTTAAAAAGTTATTTTGAAATTAAACATGGTGCCTCAGTCATCCCATGTACTGATCGGGGAACATGTCATTGGGGAAGTACCGACACAGAGAACTTTGGAAAGGGAAAAAAACCACCTAACAAGTATCTAGTTTTGAAAAAAAAAATCAGTTTAAAACCTTGCAGCAAAGCCTATATTCAGTTAAAAACCTTGCAAGCCTAGGTTTTTTTTTTTCTTATAATTCACTCATCAGGTCGCTTGTCAGTGACCTACGTAGGGAGGTGGGTGTTCAACCCCCAAAGAATTTTCGAGTGCATATATACATAGATGCATTTATTTATGCATCACAGAAATTTCTTCAACGCGTGCCCGCGGCCACACCCACGCAACCAGTCGTCGAGAAGTAGAGACAGCAGATACAAACGCGGCAAAAGAAAAAATAGCGGCGATGACATCATTATAATTTGTTTTATTGATTGCAGCGTGGTGATGTGAGGGAAATAAAAAGTGGTCCCCAAGGGGTCCCTTTAGATGGTGTCAATACCTTCAAAATTCAAACGTAAAAGTTGCCGAGAGATACCTCCCAAGCTTTATTTGCCGTTGATATTTTGCAGATGATGGATGCAGGTTCACGCAAATCGATCCCACAGGCTATCTTGGCCACAAAATTTTGTGTCTGTACCCCTTTAAGTGATTGCGTCTCAACTGATTTTACAGATACGCATTTCTAAATAAAGCGAGACCAACTGCCCATATCTATTGAGAAACTGTTGGCACATTATCCGGACCGCTCGCTTTCTTTACGCTTAGCTCAAGTGGCAACTGAAAGATGACTTCCCGGTCGACAACAGGTTCCATTGCGATTGTAGCATCCGTGCATACGGATGCCCAAATTTTATCTTCTTGGACTATTGTGAAAATGGACGAAGAAACTAGCTAAAAAAAAGAATCTGCTAAGTCTTCAACTTTTGTCAAAATGCACCCTCATCAATCAGCTCAATTCTTTCTTTTTTCACTGGAGTAATGCCAGAATTAGCATGGCCAACTTCTAAGGAAGTACCCACCACAGTGGTCTAGTGACTAAGGCACCTAGCTGCCGACCCGCAGGTCGCGGGATAGAAACTCGGTCACGGCGGTAGCGTTTTTGATAAAGGCGAAAAATGCTTGACCCTGTTTGCTAAGATTTATGTGCACATCAAATAACCCCAGGTAATCAAAATTTGCGCAGCCCTCCAGTACGGTGTCTTGCATAATCATATGGTGGTTCCGGGAAGTTAAACCCAAACAATTATCAACTTTTAAAGCATTTGACCTAAATGTTTTTGAATTCACCAGGGCTTCTCTCACTTGATTTTAATGGTTGCAACTTCAGTCGCTCTTTTGCCAAGTGTTTTAATCTGTCATTTCATATGGATAATGTGCATGTTATCCAGGGATTTCATTAACATGTTTTCTTCATAGAAGTGGGTACAGAGTGATCAATGAAAATTACGTTTCCTTTGAATCTCTGCCACAATGGGGATTAGGCAGAAATTTCTCTAGGGGGGGGGGGGGGGGGGTAGGACCTGGCTATGCACTGGTGCAGGCCTTTCACCAGTGGCCCATCTTGCATGTAGAACACTTCGATATCTTTTCTGAGTATACAGCTTGTGCGTGTGAGACTCCAGCTCTGCGTCTGGGCTGTAGCTAAATTATGTCAAAAGTGAAAAAAGGGATTTAACATCTTAAGCCCAAAAATGAAATTTCAACAGCTTAATATGCAAGCTAATATCTTAGGTTGCTTATTAAGCTGTTCCTATTGGATGCCCATGCAACGTACCAGTAACGGAAATCAAACTTCACAGAAATATCTGCTTTATTACAAAAAAAGAAAATCTTGAAGGGCACAGGAAACTAGTCATCTGGTAGTACATCACAGATTCCGTTGAAGCCAACATGACCTTCTTACAGACACATTAAAATTTTAGTCGGAGAACCAATATCAACTTAACTAAAAACAAGTTGTGCCCATGCACCAAAATATCAAGCTCTTCACTTAAACTGCAATGCATGCATTCAAGTGCTAAAATTTCTTCGTTTCAACAGTCCAGTTTTCATACAGCTTGCAGATCTTGAGCCCTACAAGCCCTATGTTTGCATAACCCCTAGAACGTGCTCTGCACAGAAGTATACAGTGTAAAACCATGAAACCATGCGTGTAAAAAATATTTTCATATCTAAGTACACTCAAATGTGCCTTTTTCACAGCAAATGATTGATTATTACAATTAGATACCACAAAAACAAGTGTTCAAAGTACTTACATTTTTGGATGGAACATAACACAAGACAGCCAAATACTGGCAGCCCCAGAACTGTGCATCATGACAAGCACCCAGTGCAGCAATAAATTTGAAGTGCACTGAAGTATCAGCTCGATGCAAGGTACTAATCAGCAGCTAGGAGATACACACTCTTTCGCTCATTGGGAAGCGCACTCAACTATCGAGATTCTCCTATGGTACCGCATCTACAGGCACTGCATGCACATGCCTTAGGCAATAGTGCCTCTGTGTTGCCTTAATTAACTTCAGTACAAATGTTACATCACTTGCAAGAGAAATAGAAAAAAAACAAAGACTTCTTTTTTATAGAGAGAGATTGCCCAACATATTCACATTCATACGCTGCCATATCAGGCTTTCTTCAAATACCATAGGGCCTTGGGCCAGCTACGAGCTCAGCCACAACATTTTAACGTTGCACAATTCATGTGCAACGTTTTAGAAGGCACACACTGCCCCCAAGAATGCATGTAGTGCCACATTAGATGCCCTCGCATTACTTCTGCCAGCAAATAAAAGTCATGTCATACTGTGCAGTAAAGCCTAGGGCACTGCCCCAGCCAACATGTAGATGCCCATTGGGCAATGTTGCAGCACTGATCTGTTTCAGGAGGATCCTTCAAAGCATGCACAAAGGCAGTGTGGAATCGCACAGCCACAACTGAGCATCTCAAGGCATGGAAGGCAGCTGCTTCTTTCGACAGCCAAAGATGGAAAGGGTGACACCAGTTGACTTCGGCCTCAGGAAACACGAGCAGAAAATGACTGTCTGGTGCTTAGGAGTTTGGCCGCCATGCGAACATCATTAGAAGCACCGCAGGACATCTACAACGAGCCAATTAATGTTGCAAAGCAGTCCCAAGGACCACAACTGCAACCTTACCAACATTTACACTAGCTCATCAAAAAGAACATCGACCACAGTTCCGATGGTTTCGTGGGCTGAGCAGTCTACCACACTCTGGCGAACAGTAGGCATTGCTGCGCCCTGTAGAGCAGCATTAAGGGTTTGCTTCGTCCGCACTGGAAGATGGCCGAGAAGTGCCTGGGGGCCGCTCTTCTTGGATCAGCCCGCTGAGGTCGTCCTGTGAATCTGTGTCCCTGAGGCAGCCCCGCTTGATGAGGAACGGGCGGATTATGACGTTGTTGTAGAGGAACATGCCGAGGATGAGCACCACGAAGCCGACTATCTGCGTCCAGTTGAAGCCCTGCCAACGCACAGCCAGCGAGAATAGCCAGATGACCAGGGTTCGCACACTGTCCAGGACCATGCGCGTGGTTGCACTCAGCTCCTTCGTCACACTGATACCGGCAAAGTTGAAGAATGCAATGCTCAGCACCGTGCCTGGGTAGGAACAAAACAGGCACTGCACTCAGCGGCACTGTTCATGAAAGTTGGAGCAATTTAGAATTTTACCAGCCTACACAACACAGCACTGCACTGCACATTGGTTTTCACCACCTGGTACTCTCTTCAACATGTGCCTAAAATTGCAGCACACAGCTGCTCTTGCATTTAGACCGTGCCCCCTTGCCTTTGAGTCACCACTTTCATTTTAAAGGGGGAAGTGGGTTTTTGAAAGAAATCAAAATTTTCTTTAACATACTTAATAAAACTGCACAGACTTCTTTATGTCTTCGCTGATTCCAGATACAAAATCATTTTAAGATGCCAATTAGTTTTAAGGTTAATTAATATTAATTACTATTGTTTCTGAAAACAATAGAGCAGTATTAAAATGCATGTCTTGAAGGCTAGACTTTTTCTAGCCTTTTGTATCAGAGCAGCTGAATGCAGCAGCTGCCAGCCACAAAGTCACAAGTGACATCGATATCACCAACATGTTGACTGTGGGAACTCTGCATTGTCTTATGCACCTTCTGGACTTTAGTACTTCTCGTTTCGTTCCTGAAAAATCCTCATACAGGAGTTGAACTGAACATCGACCCATATGTTGTGATAAAAATTGCGACTGGAGCTTGGAGCAATGTACAAGTAAAGCACAGTCGTAAACTTTCCTTGCGAGCCAGGCGATGACTTCAGATACTTGATGACTTTCGACAACGATGTAGCCTGCCTCAGTGAATTTCGGGACTTATCAGAGCTTCTGGGCACCATCTCGGACAGCGAGCAACTTTATCAATGCAGATGATGACTTAGGTGTTTCTGAATGCATCAATGCTGAGATCATGGCTGTCGCTGCCGGTGCTGCGAAAGTTTGCCAGCGCGGTTATGAATATGCCATGCCAACGCCTTCGCTGCCGCCGTTAACTAACCTTTTGTCGTGCTACGAAGCTTGCATTGGCATTCTGCGTCAATCAACGCTGTTGTAGCTGAATTCGCTTATTTTAAAAGCTTCAGTGATATTGAGGATTACGAACTTGACGGCGTGCTTCAAGCAAAACAAGTTTACGGATTATTTTGATGCGAAATAAAGCAGCAACTTGCAGTTCACACCTTGTTCTTCATTATACTATGAGCGAATATGTATGTTAGTGCTTGTAATGATTTCCGAGAGCTGAATTTCTTTAACTTAAGCTTTAAATATGCATGTTTTGTATTTTGAATTATCGATATATCTAACTATTTCACGATCTCCTTTGAGTCTGATATATACGGGGTCGAATGAACTGAGAAGGGGAGGGAGATCGACGTTTCCCACAGGCCATCCACCACTGGCGGCAGTTTCATCCCTTGGCCGAAAGACCTGCAAAATAAGAGCAGAACGTAGCGTGCCAGATCCCATGCGCCGACTGCCCCATTTTGTACGCTGAGAAAACCAAGAACTTCCGTTAAAGAATGCGGCAGCACAAGAATGACCTTTGTCACTGGAACAGCGAACAGAGTGCAATGGCAGAACACTGCAAGCAGTTTGACCATCATACCAGTCTCGAAGGCGCGGTGTCGAGCTCGTCGTTTGGTTTTGTACACTCCATGCATTTCTTGGGATGCACAAAGAGCGCCAGAATAGGTACGAGAAACTAGACCCTGGGAAACGCCTGTGCTGTCAAGCTTTTCGCATTGTGGGCTGCACAAACAAAATGAGGGGTGAAGGACCACCAAAAGTGCTTCTGCACTATAAAGCCAACTAAAAATGCAAAGGCATTTGAAAAAAAAAAAAAAGAAAAGCTAACAGTGGCATTAATATGCTGTGTCGGTACGACTGAACTGCAGACAAGTTGGGAAAATATGGAAGAAATATCTCATACGGGGACTCTGAAATTCAAACATATCATTAAAGTTTGGATGCCCTTCCTATTGCTGAGGGGTAACAATTCTCGGCCAAAAATAAAGCTTAACTTTGTTTTTGCGAGCGACGAAGCATCACATAAGGTATGAGTGATGCGTTTCTACCCCCTTCCTTCTTGAAAGCTGGCCGATACAACTTATAAGATACCCAATATAACAAAACCACTGTTCAATATGTAGTAAATAGAATTAACAAAATCCGATGGTCTCTGTCGATACTACAGTTTAACAGGACTTGAAATTCCGTGAGATGGTGCATAGCTATCGAGAAATTTTTGGTGCAGTACAATGCCTTTACAAAACGTTCACAAGCACCGGTCCTGTTTCTCTCTCGTTCTTGTGAATAACTTGTTTGGCACTCATAAAGTTCCCAGTCACCACATTTCTCATAGAGAAATGTGGTGACTGGGAAACTTTTTTCATTAAAATAAATTGCTGTTTCTACTTCATCATAGACTTAACGGTGTAATCTGTAAACAGATCACCTACCAAGATTGAATTGAGAGCCAGGGCAATACGTAAAACCACTATTATACCACCAAGAATTACGCATTTCACAAAAATAAACTCCTGTCTCATTAAAAATATAAACTTCAATTTTGAAACTTTCTCGTTGCAAACAGGATTAGCTCCATCACCAAAGACACTGCACAGTGGTACTAATAGTTGTGTGTCTTGGAGGTATGCTATATGCATTGCATGGGCTTTTAGCAGTGTGGTGCCATCAATATTTCAGATTATATTGTTTTAATGGAAAATTAGCTTTTTAGTCATGTTTGCAATGTTCCTTAAAGGGACACTAAAGGCAACTGTTAGGTCGACGTTGATTGTTGAAATAGCACTCTAGAAACCTTGTAGTGTTACCTTTGTACGAATGAAGGGCCCATTTTGAAATGAAATCGCGTTTTAGCGTTCCACATCGGGTTGGCGAGCTTCAAATTACCTGCCTCAAGAAACGGACCGACCGGACAGACTCATGTCACTGTTGCTGTGCACAACGTTGCCCGGCTCTACTGCGCTAGTAGCAGCAGACCGAAAGTAGCGGGAGCCACAGCAGCAACAATGGCTTTTTATCAATTTCTCCCCATTGGCTCCGAGATTGCATACGTTTTTGATTCAACTGAGCCCTGCTAGATGGCACCACCTTTCCAGTACAACTACGTGAAAATTGAATTTTTGAATCACTCGCCCCATTCCACATAGTAACGTCCGGCAGTCATTTTGTCCATGAATCAAACAAACGAACAGGCAGCATTTTATTGCGTCTCTTGATGCACGGGAGGTTGTTTATTATGTGCAGCTAGATCGATTACTAGTGATTATTTGTAGGCGGTCCATCTGATGGCATCGGGATCATTTTGAAAATGTCCTACTGCGGCGCATGCATTCTTGTGCATTTACCTCAATTTCTCGGTCAATAGGGCACTGTTGTTGATAATATAGTCGTTTTAGGTGTTGTCATACAGTGAGCTTTCACTCTGACATAAATTGTCATCCGACTTTAGTGTCCCTTTAAAATTAATGTCTTACCTAATCGGTGCATTCTGTGATGCCATTTGATTCCTTAACTTTAAATAAGAGTTATGAATAGTGTGTGTGTGAGAATATTCGAAAGTTTTGAATATTCATCGAATATTGTATTTGTGATGTTTGTATTCGATTCGATAACCACATATTAGAAAATTTCAAATATGCATATTCGATGTTCCCAAATATTTGTTCGCATATGTCACTGTGAAGAACTTACAGTTTTGCGCATTTGCGTTAAGAGCCTCAGTAGATCATGCAGTGATTACTATAACTTCAGCGAGTATGCGGTGATGCCTGCACATCATCGCGACAAACCTAACTATAAACAGCTCAATCAATCTAAATCATGTACTGCCTGCACGACGCGGCAGCAGATTAGCGCACGCGGTCCGCTGCCGCGCCCTTTTGCGCGAGACCACAAGTGCATATCGCTCGTAGAAATGAAGGCCACTGCCGCTGCCACATTGGCTCGACCGCTGGCGCTGTTTTAAAAAACGACGCACGTTTAAAAAACGATGGCGCTGTTTTAAAAAAATGACGCACGAAACGTAATGACAGGTAAAGATACGAGTGCAAACTAACGAGTGTTCCAGTTTGTTATGCCACAGGCATGATGCTTGTTCGGGAGCGCTTCTTTCCACGAGACAGGCGCAATTCAGGCGAACTCTCTCCCCCTCCCAACGCCACCTTCTATGCAGAAAGCGGCACCGTGCAGTTCCAGGCAAAGCGTCGCCTCCTCCACCAAGCCACCGTGCCGTTCCGGGGAAAGCTTCACCTTCTCCAAGCACCGGGAACTGGTCTCGCAGAAGAGGCCAAAACGTTATTTAAGGGGAGACGCGGGTCGAAAAGTCGCGGTTTTCCGGAAAATTTTCGCTTTTCTTTTTTCCGGCTGTATTGGCATCCTTGGACTATAATCTATTACTTCTGAAAATATCAAGCTGAAATTTGCACGAGAAATTATCAAAAAATGCTTCCAAGTGGGCAGCGGTGACGCGAGAAATGCGCGAAAGTCGCGAAAAACGGCGAAGTTCGCGTCGTCCAGTCGCGAAAACGACGCGTTGGCTGCCATTTGCAATCGTGCACGCATGCTGCGAAGGCCGTATCCTTCATAATCCACTAGTAGCCAGTCTCGTGCCTTCACGCAGAATAAACAAAAAACGAGAAAAACAACGCGTACGTCACGCGTTTTGAATATCGCGGCACACAGCGCGAGGCCGCCATTGGACGGCGGTGCGCTCCACGTTCCTCCCCCTCCTATCTCTCCGGCAAAAGAACGAAGCCTCGGACGTCGCGATCGAGTTTTTCTGCGTTTCTCTGCATTTTTGCGTCATGGCAAGCCCGAAGAAGTGCAGTTCAGATAATCGAAAGTTCAGAACTCGCCACAAGTATCGAGGGAAACGGCGTCGGACGCTTCGCAAAGCGACAGCGAACGACGATGTCGCCCCCGACCAACACCCCGACGCTCCGACTTCGGATAGGCCTAACACCGTCACCGAACCCTGCGACAGTGGTTGTGAAATAGCCGCTGCCGTGGAATTCGTCAGTGCATCCCAAAAGAAGATTGG